GCAACCACCAAAAATTTATTTTTACCAGCACCAGAACCCTTTTAATATCTGAGGTTTTTGCAGCTGTGCCAGGAATAAAAATGTTGTGAGTGGAACAAACAAACAGAGAACACAAATCCTTGGCATCTCCAACCGGGGCCTGCCAGGACAGGATCCCCTGGGAGACAGGCTGGGCCCAGCCCCTGCCTAACAAAGCTCAGGGCAGATTTAAAAATGCAGGTCTAGACAGGAATTCTGGGGAGGTTGGGTTGTTCGGTTTGTTTGGGTTTTTTTAAGCAAGGTAAAGAAAAACAACTCCCAGCAGCGAAGGGTTGATATTCCAGAGGTGGCACATTCCCACCCAGGAGGAGCAATCCTACCACCACTCCTGGGAGGAGGTGGGAGAGGGTGGGGGGTTCCGAGTCCCAGGGAAGAAATACCTCAAAAATGGGGAAAACCCCCCAAAAACAGAATTTTGGCTTTGTGTGTTTTCAGCACAAGCAGCACAAGGGTTTAGAATTGTGGAATTGTGGAATGTTCGGGGGTTGGAAGGGGCCTTAAATCCCGTCCAGTGCCATGGGCAGGGACACCTTCCACTCTCCCAGGTTGCTCCACCCTGGCCTTGGATACTTCTAGGGATCCAGGGGCAGCCACAGCTTCTCTGGGAAATCCAGTCCAGTCTCTCCCAATCCTCCCAGCCAGGAATTCCTTCCCAATATCCAACCTAAATTCCCCCCCTCTGGATCTGTATCCCTCACTCCTTGTCCCATCCCTGCAGTTCCTGATGGCTTTCAAAGCACTTTCCCCTGTGGGGTGTGATGGCACAGCCCCCTCAGCCCTCAGTGGGTGCCCCCTTGTCCTGCCTCCAGGCAGAGCCTCCCAGAGGTCCCGTTTTTCACCAAATCCCGGGATGGGTCAGGTTGGAAGGGCCCACAGTGGGTCACCTGTCCAGCCCCAAGAGCAGGTGGCACAGGATTGTGTCCAGAGGGTTCTGGAATATCCCCAGTGAGGGAGACTCCACACCCTCCCTGGGTAGCCTGTTCAGTGCTCAGGGAAGAAGTTCTTCCTCACATCCAAGTGGAACTTTCTGGGCATCAGTTCCCACCTGTTCTTCTTGTCCCATTGCTGCCCTTCCCCAAGGTCCATCCTCTCCCCCTCCCTGCAGACACTGACTGTGATAGGATCCCTCTCAGCCTTTTCTCCAGGCTAAACAGCTCCCTCCACTTTTCCTCGGAAGGGAGATGCTCCAATCCCTTCATCATCTTCACATCCCTCCCCTGGACCCGCTCCAGGAGCTCTCTGAGTCACAGGATGTGTCAGCTTGGAAGGGACCGACCTCCCACCCTCCACCTGTCTCTTGCCGTGAAGAGCCCAGACCTGTCCACAGCACTCCAGCTGTGCTTCCCCAGGGCTGAGCAGAGGGGCAGGAATTTTTGGGTGGATTTTGGAACAAATTGGGGCTCCCGGAGTACCCGGAGTCTTCAGTGGGCGTGGCTTTGAGGGCGTGGCTTAGTTAAGGCGAGGGCGTGGTCTCTGTGCTGGCCCCGCCCCCTCCGGTGAGGTCGGGGCGCGGCGCGCGGAGCCCTCAGAGCGCGATGAGCGCGGGCTGAGGGGGGGTTGGGGGGGGGGGGGATCCGCCGCCATGGTGGCTCACGATGAGCTCGGGGGGCTGCTGCCCATCAAAAGGACTATCCGCGTCATCGACGCGCAGAACCAGCACTTCAGGGAGCAGGAGGTGAGCGGGCAAGGGCAGACGGGAGGTTATTTGAGGGGAAAGTGTGTGTGTGTGTGTGAGTGAGTGAGTGAGTGAGGAGCTCCCTCAGCTTCTCGCTCGCCGCTCCTGAGGGGAGGCGGCGAGGCGGGTGCGCTGCCCGCTGCGAGCCGGGCGGGGCGAGGGGCACCCAGCCATCTAAATAACTCACTCTATATATTTAAATCCATATATATGCGTGTGTATATATTTTATATATATATATTCAAGTTCGTAGCCCCTGAGGAGTGGGGGCCAGTGCGCCAAAACCCATCTCAGCGCCTCACCTGACCCCGCTCCTCCCAGGGGAATTTCCATTTAAAAATCGCCTGGTTTCGTTTAAAAAAATCGCCGGTTTTCATTTAAAAATCGCCCCGCGGCTCTCTGCGCTCTTTCCACTGACGGGTTTTTTTCCTAATTAGGTGCTTGTTTGCTGCTAAAACCCCTGGTGGGGTTTGTGGGGCTTCTGAGGGCTGGTTTGTTGTATTGAAGCGCTGTTATTTTTATCGCGTGTTGTTATGTAGACGGCAGTAATTGCGCTCCTGGTAGGTGTTTCCGTGTCTCCTGCTGCGACAGGAGCAAAAGTTCAGCAGCCAGGTAGGGACCGGCTGCCTTGGGCTGGGTTTATTGCCCAGATCAGCGCTGAGATTAGGTGGAAAAATAAAAAAAAAAAAAAAAAAGGCGTTTCCAGACATCTCTGGGGCTTGAGGGCTCAGCCTCCGAAAATCCTGGCTCTAGAACAGCCAAACTTGGGCAATCTCATTGTGCGAAAGGGAAACCAGATGTTGGGAGAGAAAGAACATAAAGCAGAGCTCTGGAAGGGAGAGTGAATCGCTTCTCATTCTTAATCGGCTGAGCCGACACTCCTCGAGTGCCGCGGGAGCCGCTGAACTTGGAGGGACACGGCGTTTGTCCCGTGGTTGGGAACAGTGAATTTGGGAAAGGGGGTAGGTTCCCTTTGAGTTCAGACTGTTTCAGAACAGCCTGACTCTTAAACCAGCACGTGGATCTTGAGATGGTCTGGTCAGGTGCCGATGATTTCTGGCACGAGTTATCCCAGCTGCTGGCTCAAAATCTTTTTTTTTTTTTTTTTTTTTTTGCTGAATTGGCTGAACGGGAGAAGTTTTGCCATGCGTGGTTTTCCCGTGGGTCACCCTGTTTGTCCCGGGACTGGCACGTAGGACATTGCACTCCAGTAAAGGGAGCCTTATAAAAACCACTAATTATTAGCCAGCACGGGGGAAAGGTTGTGGGCGTGATGCTGCTGCAGGAAAACCTTGCTTGCTCTAAAGTAGAGCCTGGCTTGCTTTGGAGCAGCGATTTGCAATCTTTTTAATTACTTAACCTGCATTTAGAAACACTTGAAGGGATTCATTCCATCAGTGTGAAATCTCGCCTGGCACAAATTTAGCTTTAGTGTCTGTGCTCGTGATATATAATTCACTTTTAAAGAGTTCCATGGAAAAAAATACTTCATGGAACTGTTGATCCCGCTGGGGTTTTAATTATCTGTGGGTGCTGTAACACCACGGGCTTGTTACAGAAACTTCCCAGCCCTCCGTCTAATCTGGGTTCCTGTAAGGAACACGGAGACAGGAGACTCATTGTTTGCAGGTCCAGGACTAAAAAAAAAAAACCCTCCTGAGCCGGAGTTATCCGCAGTATGAAGTGCAGGGAGTCTCGGCTTACAGCGGGCTGAGCCCGGCTTTAGGGGGAGTGCATGACCCTGAGCTGAAACACAGATCCCAGACAAGGTGAAGTTGCCAAGGAGAGGGGGGGTTATTTTCCTCCTCCTGCCTCGGATCAAACACTGGAAGGAGAAGAAGAAACAGATGGTTTTTTGGCAGTTGGGCCATGTCTGAGGAGCTCTCACAGGACAGAAACTGGGAGATTTTTTTTTTTTTTCCCTTTAAGACAGGGAAAATGGCCTTTTGCTAAGCTGGATTTATAGGTACAGAAGTTCCTCTGTTGGCTGAGCACCCCGTGGACAGAAAGTGGGATTCTCTCCTCCTTGGAAGCCCTCTTGTCCAAGAGAGCAGTGCTTGTCATGTCTCAACTGTTCCCCAAATCCATTTATAATCCCAGGCAGCCCCACGGAGAGGCAGGAATTCCTCCTGCCGGCCCCTGTGCACGTGCCTGCGCCTCATCCCCGCGCAGATGTGCTGGGAAGGCATTCCCACATGTCCCTGGGCACCGGGAGCCTGTCACTGGATCTCACCCTTCAACAGTGACCTGCAAAATGCTGCTTGAGCCTCCCGGAGCTTTCTTGCTATTCATTTTCAGCGTCACATTTTTCTTCCCCGGGCTATTTTTATCCCTGGCCTGGCCAGAGCCGTGTGTGGCTTCGTGTCTGTGTTTTTCCTGCCTCAGTCCTGCAGTTAGAGCTTCTCTTGGCTCGTGGCTCTTTATTGTGATATACGATTTTCTAGCAGTAAATACCTCTCCTCTTCTCTTCCACTCAGAAACATCTGCATTTCATTAAAGCTCTTTCGAGCCCGGCTTTCTGCAGAATCCTTTTCCAGACTATCCCTGCCCTGAGCCCAGTGGCAAAAGCAAAGAAACAACTGCAGCGTTTCCAGTTGTTTTTTTTTACCCAAACCCAGCTGAGCACCCCGGGGTTGAGAACACTCTTTTCCCTTGAGATCACCCAGCTTTGTGCTGTGCCAAGAGGTCTTTGTGTCCTTCAGTGCTCAGCAATTGTTTCTTTTCATGTTCCCCCCTGCAGCTCCGAAGGCTGAGTTAGGGTGAGCTCACCTCCTCCTCCTCCTCCTCCTGCCATTGCTCAACGAGTGGGATGAGCCACTCCTCGGGTCGTGTTGCTGAAATCAGATCTGACACATCCATAGCTCTGCTGCTTCCTCAGTCCCATGACTGGAATCCAGCCCTGGCTGTTCCCGTTCCTCTTTTTCTTTTCTTTTTTTTTTTTTTTTTTTTTTTTTTTTTTTTTTTTTTTTTTTTTTTTTTTTTTTATTTTTTTTTT